GCGCTGCTGATGACACTGTGGAGTGACGCTCGAGTGATCAAGTATTCCAATGTATATAAAAAAGCTTTTATTCGATTCCTCTGTCCTCCTTTCCTTTCCTCGCTTCCTTCCCTCACGTCCTACAGGGGGTGGAGCTGAGACGCAAGGAAAGGAAGCAAGGAAAGGAAACGAGGATGCACAAATAAGAAATGAGAAGCACCCCTAGTCTGTGGACATCGTTCATTCCAAAGCCGATTGCTGCATAAAAAGTGAGTGTGTGTGACAGTGGACTGCGGTAGGCTAAATTATTTACAACAGGGGTAGTGAACAATTCCGCTTCCAACCTGTAGGGTGACCGCAGAGGAAAAGTTACTTGGTGTTGCTTTTAATGATGACAACTACATTGTTTTGTTTAGAATGCTGTGTTAAGTGAGATGAACTCGTTTTCAGCGAACTTCTGAATTATGAACGGGATTTGTAGTTCGACTGGTCGACACTGTTTTCCAAAGATAGCTCCTGCCTGTATACGTGAAGTGGACTGTCTACCAAAATGTCCTATCCTAAATACCAAATGTCCAATCCTAAATACCAAAAGGCCCTATCCTAAATACCAAATGGCCAATCCTAAATACCAAAATGCCCAATCCTAAATATCAAATGCCCTATCCAAAATACCAAATGCCCAATCCTAATACCAAAATGCCCTATCCTAAATACCAAATGTCCAATCCTAAACACCAAATGCCCAGTCCTAAATACCAAATGCCCAGCCCTAAATTCCTAAATGCCCAATCCTAAATACCAAATGCTCAATCCTAAATTCCTAAATGCCCAATCCTAACCCAAATGCCCAATCCTAAATACCAATGCCCAATCCTAAATACCAAATGCCCTATCCTAAATTCCTAAATGTCCAATCCTAAATACCAAATGCCCAATCCTAAATTCCTAAATGCCCAATCCTAAACCCAAATGCCCAATCCTAAATACCAAACGGCCAATCCTAAATACGAAATGCCCAATCCTAAATACCTAAAATCCCAATCCTAAATACCAAATGTCCAATCCTAAATACCAAATGCCCAATCCTAAATTCCTAAATGCCCAATCCTAAATACCTAAATGCCCAATCCTAAATACCAAACGGCCAATCCTAAATACCAAACGACCAATCCTGAATACCTAAATGCCCAATCCTAAATACCTAAATGCCCAATCCTAAATACCTAAATGTCACAATCCTAAATGACCAAATACCCAATCCTAAATACAAAATGCCTATCCTAAAAACCAAATCCCAATCCTAAATACCAAATGCTCAATCGTAATTACCAAATTCCCAATCCTAAATACCCGAATGCCCAATCCTAAATACCTAAATGCCCAATCCTAAATACCAAACGGCCAATCCTAAATACCAAACGACCAATCCTGAATACCTAAATGCCCAATCCTATACCTAAATGCCCAATCCTAAATACCTAAATGTCACAATCCTAAATGACCAAATGCCCTATCCTAAAAAACAAATGCCCTATCCTAAATACCAAATGCCCAGTCCTAAATTCCTAAATGCCCAATCCTAAATACCAAATGCCCAATCCTAAATTCCTAAATGCCCAATCCTAAATACCAAACGGCCAAATGCCACAATCCTAAAAGACCAAATGCCCAATCCTAAATGCAAAAATGCCCTATCCTAAATTACCAAAATGCCTATCCTAAAAACAAAATGCCTATCCTAAAAACCAAATGCTCAATCCTAAATACCAAATTCCCAATCCAGAATACCCAAATGCCCAATCTTAAATGACCAAATGCCCAATCCTAAACAAAAAATGCCCTATCCTAAAAACCAAATGCCCTATCCTAAATACCAAATGCCCAATCCTAAATACCAAATGCCCAATCCTAAATACCAAATGCCCAGTCCTAAAGTCCTAAATGCCCAATCCTAAATACCAAATGCCCAATCCTAAATTCCTAAATGCCCAATCCTAAACCCAAATGCCCAATCCTAAATACATTATGGCCAATCCTAAATATGAAATGCCCAATCCTAAATACCTAAATGCCCAATCCTAAATACCAAATGCCCTATCCTAAATAGCAAATGTTCAATCCTAAATACCAAATGCCCAATCCTAAATACCAAATGCCCAATCCTAAATTCCTAAATGCCCAATCCTAAATACCTAAATGCCCAATCCTAAACACCAAATGCCACAATCCTAAATGACCAAATGTCACAATCCTAAATTACCAAATGCCCAATCCTAAATACAAAATGCCCTATCCTAAATTACCAAATGCCCAATCCTAAATACAAAATGCCCATCCTAAAAACCAAATGCCCTATCCTAAATTACCAAATGCCCAATCCTAAATACAAAATGCCCATCCTAAAAACCAAATGCCCTATCCTAAATTACCAAATGCCCAATCCTAAATACCAAACGACCAATCCTGAATACCTAAATGCCCAATCCTAAATACCTAAATGCCCAATCCTAAATACCTAAATGTCACAATCCTAAAAGACCAAATGCACTATCCTAAAAAACAAATGCCCTATCCTAAATACCAAATGCCCAGTCCTAAATTCCTAAATGCCCAATCCTAAATACCAAATGCCCAATCCTAAATTCCTAAATGCCAATCCTAAATACCAAACGGCCAAATGCCACAATCCTAAAAGACCAAATGCCCAATCCTAAATGCAAAATGCCCTATCCTAAATTACCAAATGACCAATCCTAAAAACAAAATGCCTATCCTAAAAACCAAATGCCCAATCCTAAATACCAAATGCTCAATCCTAAATACCAAATTCCCAATCCTTAATACCCAAATGCCCAATCTTAAATGACCAAATGCCCAATCCTAAATAAAAAATGCCCTATCCTAAAAACCAAATCCCCTATCCTAAATACCAAATGCCCAATCCTAAATACCAAATGCCCAATTCTAAATACCAAATACCCAGTCCTAAATTCCTAAATGCCCAATCCTAAATACCAAATGCCCAATCCTAAATTCCTAAATGCCCAATCCTAAACCCAAATGCCCAATCCTAAATACATTATGGCCAATCCTAAATATGAAATGCCCAATCCCAAATACAAAATGACCTATCCTAAAAACCAAATGCCCTATCCTAAATACCAATTGCCCAATCTTAAATACCAAATGCCCAATCCTAAATGACCAAATGCCCAATCCTAAATACAAAATGCCCAATCCTAAATACAAAATGCCTTCCTAAATACCAAAATGTCCTATGTCCAAATGCCCATCCTAAATACAAAATGCCCTATCCTAAAAACCAAATGCCCTATCCTAAATACCAATTGCCCAATCTTAAATACCAAATGCCCAATCCTAAATGACCAAATGCCCAATCCTAAATACCAAATGCCCAATCCTAAATTCCTAAATGCCCAATCCTAAACCCAAATGCCCAATCCTAAATACATTATGGCCAATCCTAAATATGAAATGCCCAATCCCAAATACAAAATGACCTATCCTAAAAACCAAATGCCCTATCCTAAATACCAATTGCCCAATCTTAAATACCAAATGCCCAATCCTAAATGACCAAATGCCCAATCCTAAATACAAAATGCCCAATCCTAAATACAAAATGCCTTTCCTAAATACCAAAATGTCCTATGTCCAAATGCCCATCCTAAATACAAAATGCCCTATCCTAAAAACCAAATGCCCTATCCTAAATACCAATTGCCCAATCTTAAATACCAAATGCCCAATCCTAAATGACCAAATGCCCAATCCTAAATACAAAATGCCCAATCCTAAATACAAAATGCCTTTCCTAAATACCAAAATGTCCTATGTCCAAATGCCCATCCTAAATACAAAATGCCCAATCCTAAATACAAAATGCCCTATCCTAAAAACCAAATGCCCTATCCTAAATACCAATTGCCCAATCTTAAATACCAAATGCCCAATCCTAAATGACCAAATGCCCAATCCTAAATACAAAATGCCCAATCCTAAATACAAAATGCCTTTCCTAAATACCAAAATGTTCTATCCTAAATACCAAATGTCCAATCCTAAATACCAAATGCCCAATCCTAAATACCAAAATGCCCAATCCTAAATACCAAATGTACAATCCTAAATACAAAATGTCTATCCTAAATACAAAATGCCTTTCCTAAATACCAAAATGTCTAACACAGTCTCATCCCAAATCGTCATATAACTGACGTTTTGGGACGTATTTTGACCATACGTCAATATCCGCCTTTTTAGGGCCCCCTTAAACGTCGATAGATGGCGATCCCGGGCCGTCATACAACTGACGCTTTACCTTTAACGTCAGTTAGGTGACGGGTTAGGTTTAGGGTTAAGTTTAGGTATGGGGTAGAGTTAGGATCCCATAACCTCATCTACCGACGTTTAAGGGGGCCCTAAAAAGGCGAATATTGACAAAGTAAATAATATAGTCAATTTTGATTTAAATAAAAAAAGATGAATATATATATTTTTTAACATTTAGCACCACACACAAAATAAAATAGTTGACAAAAACTTTTAAATATTCTCTTAATTTAAAAGACAATTATATTATAAGTATTTCGATTAAATAAAAGTAGGCCTATAAATAATGTGACTTAAAAAAGATCAAAAGATCATAGTATTTTAAACTCGCAATCTACTCACTTCAAAAAGGACACTCAAAAGGTACCTACAAACTGAAACATAAGGTGCACTATAATAATCATTGTGAATTGTATAATGTCGACTCTACTGTGTGTGAGTAAAAGAGAACGAAAAAGAAAGAGTGAGTCACTAAGAAAATTGCCTAACCAAAAGATCCTTACCATGTTAATGTTTAATAGAGAGGTGCTAATAATATAATTTCTAACGCTTAGACATAGACGGTTACATACAAGTCGTTTACCCACATCTAAACGATCCCAACAAGATCACGGACTTTTAATTTGAAAAATTGACAAATAATTTTTATTCTTCGTAACAAATTGGACTTTTATTCTGAAAGACGTTCAATGGCTGCTGTGATAGTGTGTACACATGGATAACACTGTCTATGATAACACACCGGTATCGCTATATTTACCTGGAGGATTTCCTAAGTTTTGAAATATTTAACATCCAACTGTGATTTGAAGCACTTTCTAACTTCGGATTCTCAGAAGGTAAAGCGAGTTTAAAAGACAGATTGAGTTGAGCACGCGACAGGATCTAAGTTAATGCCACTGTGCTAGCGATTGAAGGTCATAATTAGAAGAGCATAATGAACACATTTATCACACAATCATTGATGTAGATGTCATGCTTGAGAGTAAATCTGCGTTATTAATGGTTTTGCAGCATGTCTTTGTTTGGAGGACTGTTGAGTCGCGCGGGGACTTTCTGCGCGAGACACTTCAGCACAGGTGTGTGTGTGTGTGTGTGGATTCTTCATTCACTATTTATATCTGATTGATTGTGCATATTGTCCTCTTGTTTCATATGAGTTGCATGTCCGGTATCACACAGGTACTTGTGCTAGAATACGAATGCACGCCATTCCCAAACTGAAAGAGGTGGATCGATGGACGGAGAAGAGAAGCATGTTTGGAGTTTATGACAACATTGGGATATTGGGTGAGTGACTTATGTACACATATACAGTTCACCCTTAATTTATTGCTATTTGTTAAACTTTGCTCTTCTTTGTATTTCTTTAAGAAGTGTGTATACAGAACTAACGTTACTGTATGTGGTGTAGGAACACTAGAATTCACGTATATTAATGTATCAGTAGTACATACAATATTTAGTGTAATACAATTTAATTTTTAATTAACTTTTTTTATTATATACATGTACCAAAATAACAATGCATAGCAAAACAAATTTTTACATATTATTTTATATTTACCTTCCCAATAAGTGTAAAATACCACACAAGAAGTTATGTAAACTAGGAATGATGCAAATAAATCGTTGTATTCTAAACTGATTAGATTTGACTCATAAACATGATTGGCTTTTCCAATCGCTCTAATGGGTCTCATTTTGCTATCAAGGTTCAAACCTGAGATGCAATTCAAAAAATATTTGTCTTAATATTTTAACTCGGTTGTGAAAAGGATTGCACCCAAAACTGGTCAACCAGGATGGAAAAACATAACGCATGGACAAATATTGCATTATAATCATCATAATGTTCTAATAACAATTTTTCTAATTCTTCAATGTATAACAAATTGTACAGGCCAGGGGTCAAATATGATCATCCTCACATGAGGGACCCCATCCTAAAATTTAAAAGGCAGCTAATTTTCATGTATGGAGACAAAAATTACGCTGTGAAAATGAATATTATAAATGTGTAAAAAAGACAAGTGCGTCTATTGTAACATTAAATATTTCCTACTCACTATTAATAATAAATAGCTGATGAATGTATTTAGATGTATTGATTTATTTATCTTAATGTTTCATTTTATTCAGTGTATTTATTTTAGTTTTAATTACATTGACCTATTATTGGATTATTTGACATAGGCCTAAAGGTTTGTATATTAAAGCATCCTGCAAGGAATAGTATGCTAGCTGTATCCATTTACATCCAGTCTTTGTGCTAAGCTAGGGTGCGTCAGACAGAATTACAGCACGGACGATAACCGGTTTCGCGATAAACCACGATAAAATATACTGACGATTAGTATTACCGTTTAAAATGTAATTATCATTAAAACCGTGTTTGATTATCGCGATTAATAACACGCTGTAAATCCTGTCGGCCAGTCTCGCGCTGCACGCAATGTTTACTATTCGAGAAGGAATGGCGGAAGGCAGTGACCGTGCTTGGGAGATTCAGCCTTTTAAGAGGACCAAATCTGGAGTGTGGTCATAGTTAGGCTTTTACAAAAGTCCTGAGGGAAACTTGATCGAGGATAGTCACCCTGTCTGCAGAACAAAAAGTCACTGTCCAAGAGAAACACTTAAAATCTGCCGAGTCGTCTTCTTGTGTAACCATCACCCGCTGTTGTATAGCGAACACAAGGCAAGTTAACTGACTTCAATACCGAAACTAGGTTTGGGAAACAATTGGGCACGAAATGTTGTTTTGAGTTTAAACATTTTATGTCACTCACTTGAAATAGAAGTGAAGCTTCCGCGAAGAAAATTTTGCAGCAAGTGTCTTTGAGCCGACGAACGAACATCTTCAAATAAGATTATTATTAAGAGTGACGTTTTAAGGGATAGCAATGTATAGATACATAACGTATTACACCGATTTTATTTTTACCACATAATTACGGGGACATATTGAATTGATAATGAGTTTAGCTAATGTTTTAAATCTTACCCGTTTATAAATTCATTTAGTAAAACAATCGTCCAGACAAGATGATTATTAAACCAATATTATCAAACTCTGTAAACAATAAATCAACTCTGATTTCATTTTCAAAACAATCAAAAACTGGAGACGCAAGACGGCCGGCAAGTTGTATTTGAATTAAATGAGCACGTGTCCGTTGTGATATTGATGTGCGCGGTGTGTGTAATAATGCGTTGCTATTAACGACGGGCATTATAAAGAAGCAAATGCCATAGAATAGAATCTTGCTTAAAAAAAACTGCATAGAGCTGCTTGTTTATTTGTTGTTTGTTGATTTTCATTCATAAAACTTGTTGAAATGTTTTCAGTGAGCATCAGTTCTTTTTGAACACTTTATATTTTATATTTTTACACTTTATATTTTGAACACTTTATATCTAAATTTAAGAAAACCGTGATAATATTGATAATCGCGATAATTGTGGACACTATAATCGTGATATGAAATTTTCATACCGTCCCATCCCTAGTATGGACTTATCCATCTCTGGGGGATATGATGAATAAGCTAATGTCCCAAAAAGTCAGAGTGTTCCTTTAATATTAACTAAGATCATTCTTAGTTCTTGTTAACTTAGGTAGCTAAATAATGTTAACTAAAGAACCTTATTGTAATGTGTTGCCAAATAATTTAAAAAGATTTCAGGACCCCTTTAATCTTATTTTACACTGTACTTTTGGACTGTAAGGAACCGCTCTGTGTTCCCGGACAGCCGTGTAACGCTGCGCTGACTGTGTTTGACTGCAGGTGATTTTAAAGCCCACCCAAAAGACCTGATCAGAGGGCCCGTGTGGCTCCGAGGCTTCAGAGGGATAGAGCTTCAGCGTCTCATCAGGAAGAAGCGGATGGTGGGAGACCGGATGATGACGGAGGACAAGCACATCCTGGACAAGAGGATCAGCTTTCTGTACCGCCGGTTCAACAGATATGGCAAGCACAGATAGACTGAACCACAGCTGGTGTGTGTGTATGTCCTTCATCTGTATCCATGTGAAGCTCATTTTGTGTCAAAAGCTGCAGCTCTGTTTATTAAACTGTAAAAAAACATTTGTCACAATGTCTTCATTACAAAAGATTATCATTTCAAAAGGGTTGAGATTAAATGCATGGAAGCTTGTTTCTGCCACCGAATTAAAGGGTAATCTCACATTTCTGACATTTAGTTTGATATCTCACAGTTTGAACTTTGACTCCCAATTTTGTAACTCAGAAATTCCGATTTTTTTTTTTTGTGGGGTTATAAATGTTGAACTACGAGCCAAAATTATGAGATTTGCAATAACCTTTTTATATTTATACCTAAAAGTTTACATTTGTAAGTTTATAGCTCACAATTTTTTTCTTGCATAATCTCACAATTTATAACTTTCAATTCCAAGTTTGTATATCACAATTCAAAGGGGGGAAAAAAAAATCATAATTGTAGGAAATAAACTGAATTACACAATTGCTAGGAAAAAAAGTTATTTTAATCCTGTGGCGGAAACAAGCTTACATAAAAATGCTCTACGGTAATTCTCATTCAGCCCCACAAAAAAAAACTAAAAAACCCTTCAGTTGCTTGATTCCCTGTAAGTGGAGGTTCAGAGGGTGTTTCTGCTCTGGGATCAGTGAGAGAGGGAACTAGGACTGGGGAATCCGGTGAACGGACCTTCTGTAATGACCGGCTGCTCCGACTCCATCTGTGGGGGAACACAACAACGCGCATCTTAGTATTGTCACTATCATTACTGATCATACTAGAGGTCATGGTTCTGCAGCATTTGTGTTCAAATGACTCGTCAAATCGCGTGTCTTGAGGAAGGTGTGAGTTATTGGAGATGTACGCCCCCTTCCTAAAGTGACATTTATTCTCTCTAGGGTGTAATATTACCTCATTGAAATGTTAATTTGATCAGTATCATGATTTTCTTCCTTTTTCTGCTTCTAACTGGCACTAAAAAAAAGGGACCACATTACTCCAGACCAGTACTACACTGTCTTCATTGGCTACCGGTTCATTACAGGATTGAGTATAAGATTCTACTAATGGTTTTTAAAGCGATGCATAACATGTCCCCAAACAACATTGTTGACCTTTTAGGATCGTACAAATCAGGCAGGACTTTAAGATCAACGAACCAGCTTCTGCTGACAGTCCCTTATTCCTAAAAGAAGTCAAAGGGTGACCAAGCTTTTTCATTTGTGGCTCCCAAGCTGTGGAACAGTCTTCCTTCTCATATCCGTCTAACTCAGACAATAGAAATGTTTAAGTCTCAATTAAAAACGTATCTTTTTAACCTAGCTTTTAGTTATGTGCATTGTAGACATAATTCACTATTTTAATTATTTCTACAATGACCTCACTAAGAGTGTGTGCTTTTACCTTCATATGCGCTTTTATACATGAATGTCTGTCTAACTGTTTTTAGTTAACTGTGAACAACATTGCTAGTATTAAATGTGCTTTAAATAAATTTAAGTTGAAAAAAATATAAATGTTCTTTTTCATAAAAGAATGGAGGAACATTAAATGAATCATGGTTTCCACAAAAAAATATGAAGCACAACAAACAACTGTTTTCAACATAAATAATAAGAAAGCCTTTGACTCATAATTTTGTAATTCAGAAATTCAGTTTTTTTTATTCATCTGAACTGTTGGTTATAAATGTGGAACTGTGAGCAAAAAAAAAAAAAAAATAGGAGATTAAGACCCCGTTTACATGAAGGGAAAACGCATATATATTTTCCTGTGGATTGGCCTCTCTTTTGAACGTTTTATCACAGAAAACGATTATTTCTAAAAACTCGGGCCAAAGTGGAGATTTCTGAAAACGCCGGTTGTGTGTTGTGTGAACTGGGAGAAATGGCGTTTTAGGTTCTTTCTTGTCGTTTCTGAGGATTCTGATTGGCTTGCATGTCTTTATCATTAACCCCTACACTGCTGCCAATAGGTTTGGCATAGTTATGATGGCGCTCGACACCGTATTTATGCGGGTGTGTGAACAACGTTATTTTTGAAAACGGAGGGGGAAAATATTTGTTTTACTAAATACCCGGCTTTGTGTAAACATGGCCTAAAAGGTTGCAATTATGTTAAATATTTATCCCTTTAACAACTTTATATTTGTAAGTTTACAGCACACAGTTCTGACTTTTTTTCCTTGTATGATTTCTGAAGGATCATGTGACACTGAAGACTGGAGTAATGATGCTGAAAATTCAGCTTTGATCACAGGAATAAATTACATTTTAAAATATATTCACATAGAAAACAGCTATTTTAAATAGTAATAATATTTCACAATATTGCTGTTTTACTGTATTTTTTAATCAAATACAGTAAAAGCAGAAGAGACTTCTTTCAAAAACATCTTAACTGCAGTCTGTCCCAGGATTATAATCTTTAACAAGATCTTGGTCTGGTCCTTCATACCTGTGCGTCTCTCTCTCTGTCCTTGGGAACCCGATGCCTCTTTTTCTTGGGTCCACCGGCGGACTGAAGAGCAAACGCTGGAGAAGAGCCGTCTTCATCGAGAGCAGGATCTAAAGCCTTTCCTTCGTCCTGTTTGAACACATCGTGTGTGTCGTCAGCTTCAGTGTTAGAACAAATAGAGTTGAATTACTTTCAAATAAATCCGATTTAAAAGCCGATTCGGGTGTGAACACAGCTTTATGTTAAAGAAGTTTTTGTTCCTCGCCTCTAGTGGGATGGTGAGCTGAGCCGTCCTGTAATCATCTCCATACGAGTCCAGAGTCTTCATGAGGAACCTGAGTACACATGAGCAGATGTTACGCTGAGTTATGACTGTTATATTGTAATATTATGACACTACATTTCCTAAAGGGTAACTAAACCCCTGATAAGAGCCTGACTCCACCCACTGGCAATATTTGAAAAATGCTGAAAAAGGGGGCAGACCCCAGCGGAGATAGAGGGGACGAAAATTTTGACTAAACAAGCTGTTTTTTTATATTGCCAAGAGTGTAGCTCCTAGCTCGTACCAAGAACGTGGTGAGCTGAAACCTGCGTACATCACGAAGTGAACATCCAACTGCAGTAGCCACCGTTCAACCTGAAGAGGGCAGCACTAAGACACTTTTACACCATATATTATAGAAATAAAACACTTTAAACAGAAATGTCAAAAAAGTTACTCGAATCAATGACTGGTATTAATAAAGTTCCATTCTTACAGATCATTAACTAAAAAAAGTTGGTTTAGGGTTTTAGTTACTAAGAAAAATACCCGAATATAATCCCTTTTATGAAGTCTTGATTTTGTTTTTGGGGTGTACTAGACTATATTTTCAAGCTTGATTATTCAAAAAACACATTATATTTCACATTATTTCAGCACCTCTCTCCCTAGTCAGGCTTGAACATTGATTTTGATGAAGCCCCTCCTTCTGAAATATGAAGGCGCTGTGATTGGTCAGCGTGTTGTGATTGACAGACTGCGAGCTCTTCTTTAGTGTAAATTTTAACAATGGCGTCAATTTCAAACCAATTAGAGCTCAATTCAGACAATGTTAATGAATGAGAGGACCGTGCAGAATGGATTTCATGCACCGACTTTGCAAGCACAGATTTCACAGGGCATTTCAGAGTGGCATGATTGTTTTTTGTAATTTTCTTATAGGCCTACATTATAGATATGATGTTATCCACAATTTCATCAGCCTTAGGAAGGTCAAACAAATGAGTTTTTGAAAAGGAGTGGAAAAAAACTGTCTCTCTTTGACATAGCAGCAGCTTAACCAGGCCTCGTCCACTTTCTGTGGATTATTTAAATGAGGAACATTGTGACTTCATAAGATCTGGAAAAAACGTGTTGCTCACACACTAAAGTTGAAAAGTGGAAAAGCATATTAGGACCCCTTTAAATAAATAATACATTTGCGGATATAATCAACACTAGCCATTATTGGGCTGAATTTAATTGTAAAAAAAAAAAAAAAAAATCATGGTAAAAATTGCAGAATCATTAGATAAATGTACCAATTGAAAAAAATTGTAAGTAGCAACCTTAGTTATTATTATTATTCCATTTATGCTTTTAGTAATATGTGTTTTTGTTTATGTGTCGGGTGTTTTTGATTGTTTTATTTGTGAAAACGCAATGAAACATGCCAAATTGTGCAACATAATTTTTGGCCAGCCAGGCTGTCAATCATACAAAGAAATTATGAACATGCAAAAACGAGAGAACAAACCAAATATTTAAATTCGTATTTTGTTGTTTTTATCGAACGTGTATGCTAATTAAAAACAAATATCCCCTCCGGACTCACAGCCACTACTTTTATTTATCCTTTAACGCCATAATCATGGCAAACTCAGGAGTGACAACGTTTATAATAACCATCGCTAGTGTTTGTTTCTAAAACAGAGTGCATGTACCTTCTTTCTTTCCTCAGTCGGCGTGTCAGTCTTTGGATCTGGTGAAGCCGTCCCAAAATCTTCTCATTTACCTGAGAACAGGTTCATAGGACTTTTAGTCAAGAAGCCTTTCACTTAAATGTATAGATCAGACAAAAATTTGAAATCCATTACCATTTACACACCTTCATGTCGTTCCAAATCTGCGACACATTATTTAATTTTATTTTCCACTAAAAAAAATTGACCTTTTGTGTTCCCCATAAAAAAAAAAGAAAGTCATATAGTAACCAAGTTATGGAACAACTTTTTTTGGAGCAAAATGTTTGTACAGCAGGGGCTTTTTAATCTTTTAGATGCCACGGACCCCCAAATATGATCATTTTCGTGTGAGGGACCCCATCCTGAAAAATAACAGGCATCTATCGATTATTAACACCCTATTTAGACATTGATTGCACCGTTACGTGTATTATTTATTTAAATGTCATCTATTTTTGTTCACTTATTTAAAAATAAATAAACGTTTTGATTCATCTAATTTAATCTATTTAATAGATTAATAGCTAACTGCTATTTTTATTTTAATCTAATTTATTTACTTATTCTTTATTAGTTTTTTGAGGAGAGATTATAATTCCTTAAGCAAAATATTTAAAAAAATATTAAATAAGTCATAAGG